CCGAGGTATAAGATCGAGGTCGGTTCGGGGAGGGTGCACTAATGTTCTTCGTGCTTGTTGGATGCTCTTGTACATCCTGGGGGAGGGTGCCCTCGGATGTTCTGCGTGTTTTGGCCCGCGGAGGGTCTTCATGTTCTCGAAGGATGTTTTTCAATCCTAGGTCCGACCGTAAGGAATGTGCCCATGATACTTCAGACCCCGGTAGATTTCTTATCTGATGAGGGCGGCGGTGATGTCCATGGCCAATCCACGGATGAAGCTCCACTGGCTTCCAGGCTCTGGCTTCCTTATTCCATGGTTCCTTATCCGGTGCCCTCACCGTGGCATGGATTGAAGCGCGTGGATTAGCGATGGGTGCCGTTTCCACAACATCGGCGCGCGCTGTCGCCGAACGAGGCGGCGCTGGCCTCATGTGTCGAGGGGTACCTTCCCCGGTGCATGGATCTGGCGCCCACGCGCCAGATCCACGGATCCCTAATCCAGGTCAGCGTGCGCCCGACCAGAGCTCCCACGATGCGTGGCCCTTCTGTTCCCAGCCCTCCTGCGTGTCGGGTGCTCGCTTCGTCGCGGCGGCACAGCGGGCCCGCGCCCACCGCCCAGGCGGGCGAGCACCTCGTGGCCAGAGGTGATCACGGCGCCCGCCCCGCATGCTGGCACCCCACGGCCGACGAGGCGGGCGAGCGGCTCCAGAGCCGGCTCTCCCCGGGGGATCGGCGGCAGGACCAGTCGAGGAGGCTCCGCTGGGGCTCCGCTTGTGCGGAGTGGCTCACGGCCAGCGGGGGGCGGAGCCGAAGCTGCCCACCCAGCCTGGATGCCCCCTGGGGCGGCCGCCCCCCTCGGGGGGGCGCAGGCAGCACCAGTGAGCCCGGGGCCAACGACGAGGAGCAAGGTGCGCCGCCCAAAACAGGACCCTATCCTCTGCGGCTGGGCCGTGCTCGAGGGCTCGGGGAGCGGCCGACATGCATACCTGCCCGCCAACGCGGGCGGGCAGACATCCATGTCCGCCGCTCCTCGAGATCCCAGGGCACGACTCCGAAGCGGTGGATGTGGACATAGTCTGGCGGTGGACAAGGAGCCAGTGTTAAGTCGGGCCTGTCCCTCTACTGGAAGAATCTTCAAAAATAGTTAAAGCATAATCAGGGGACGGTTTTAGGAGTATTTTTTAATCATGTTTGAGTATTTTGATATTTTTATTGTTCGTCCAAAATCAACATGTGAAACATATGCCCGACCTGAAGCCAGTGAGGCGAGCGGCGGAGCCGAGGCCGCCTCCCGTGGTGCGGAGGCCCGGTGGACGCCACGCCACAGGGAGCCACCGCGGGGTCGAGGGGGGCCGACGGCAGTGCGGGAGGGGCACGCTGGAGCTCCGAGGCCGGGACTCATCCACATCCACCGCCTGGGGGATCGATCTCATGCACGCACGAGATGGGCACGGAAAGAATGGGCACAGTGCCCAACAGCAGTCCCTGTTCATTTTGAACAGGACTCGCTGTCCGCGCCGCCGCGGCCTGTGTCCACTTGAGACAGCAGGCCGCCTGCCCGACAGTGGCCGCTGTTGGTTCGGGACAACATTTGTTGTGGGGCATTGTACCCATTCTTTCCGTGCCCATTTCGGGCGTCCAAAGATCTTCGCGGACCTCCACAGGCGTTGGCTCTGGATGCATTCGGGCCCTCGGGGGCCAAAAGATATATCCATAGCCACCGCCCGCTGGGGCACCAGGACGGCGGCTCCCGGGCGGCGGATCTGGATAAGCCCCTGTGCCTGTGTCTGTCTGTACAGTTTTCCAGTCGTTCTTGAGACTATCACCCCTTGCAGAAAAAAAACCCTGCCCCGCAGGAGCTCCTGGAACGGGGGCAGCCAGTGGCGCAGCGGGCCCCGCTGGGAAGCCCGCGGGCAGGGGGGCGGCACCGCCCCACGAAGGGAGGTGGAGCGAACCATACGACCGCCTGCGCAGGATGCTGCGGCTCGACGTGCAATGGAATCCCGAAAGTGGGTCTCGGGAGAGCGCCGAGACGAGACCTGGTCGGAGGCTTCCGCGGCCTCCTGCCTCGTCGTTCGTTCTTCGCCGTCCGTCGCCGTCCTTCGTCGTTTGTTCGTCGTTCGTTGTTGCTCGTCCGTCTTTCGTCGATCGTCGTCGCTCGGCCGCCGTTGGGCGTTCGTCGTCTGTCGTTCGTCGTCCTCGTCGTTCTTCGTCGTCGTCGATGGTTTGGAGGCAATTTTCGACCTCTTTAGGCCTCGTGGGGTGCCCTCGCGTGGCCACGGCCGGATCTGCTTTGAGATGCGTTCGTCGTCTGCCGTTCTGTGTTTTTCGTTCGTCGTCAAGATCGTGTTTCGTTTGTGGTGGTGCTTCGTTCCTGGTCGTGGTCGTTGCCACCGTCGTGGTGCTAGTGGTTCGTCCTCTCCTGGTCGTCGCCGTCCCCCCTGCTTCTTGGGAGGCGCGGACCTTCCGTGCAGATGCAGGGCCGGCGCCTTTTGAGAAGCCAGCCTCCTCCTAAGAAG